TTTTTCATGAAAATTAAACTTTATAAACTTTATATAATTGACAAGATCTCCATGTGAAATCGCCAAGAAATTAATTAATGCGGAACATACCTTGATCCATTGATTTGTATCTTGAATAATGAATATTGAATATTGATTTCTTATTCTTCAATTTAATTGGTCAAATCTTTCTTCTTGATTCTTGATTGTGTGTTTTGAATCTTCCTCTTCGATACGCTGTTTCTATTAATTCCTGTGTTGATAGATATCACAAAGAATGAGAAAATTGCATATGAATTAGGGACCATAACCCTATATATAGTTCTATATGTATTCGGCACATTGTCAAATACTAACCATAATGGATCCGGTCCCTACACATATAATCTGGTCTACACTTTATTTTGATTCTCAAACCCCAATTACTTAATTTTTTATTGTGCAAATTACCCAATTCCCTACTTTTCAAAATCTATTTTTCAAAATCAAATTTCAAATTTTAATTTTCAAAAATCAAATATTTTTAATTAGATAGAGATTATATATATACAAATTATATTTTAATTTCATCCCAAATCAAATCCTAAATTCACTCACTCTCTATCTCTCTCTCTCTCTCTGTACATTTCTCCCCCAACTCCCAACCCCATAGCCTTCCTCTCTCTCTCTCTCTCTCCTTTCTAACCGACGACCTCCACCAGTGGTGCATAGATCGTCGACGACTACCAACCCACAGCCACAACCCGCCTCACCGAAGCTTCACTTGCAGCGCCGATCTGTGCGGTGGTCGAATCGGCAGTGGTGCAGTGGTCAAATCTACAACACCGATATGCCAGAATCTATATATTTTTTTGTTTTTTATGTGATCTACTGTGCGGTGGTGGTTCTTGTGGCGGGTGGTTTGTGTGTGGGAATGCCATGGGTGTCAATCTGATGGTTGAATTTTGGGAATTTTTTGGTTTTTGATTTATACTGTGCAGTGCAGGCAATGGTCTGGTGGTTATGGTGGTGTAGTGCAGTGCCGGCGTCAGTTGTTTGAATCGGTGTGATTTGTGACCAAATGTGACCATATAATGGACTACCCGTGACCTTAAAATTCGACAATTTGTGACTAAAAATTAGTATGTGACCAATAAATTTGAAAACATGTGACTGATAAATAACTGTGATCTGTAATTTTTTTTATCCGTGATCAATAAAATAATGTGTGATTTATAAAATTATTGATTTGTGATCTCGACATAATCCGTGACCGATAAACAAATTGTGACTTATAAAATTTTTGAATTGTGATCTCGAAATAATTTGCGACGTATAAATTTTTTAATTTGTGACCTCAAAAATAACCTGTGACCATATTATATAAATTCAGAATAGTCGCTGGAATCGGATCAGTCGCCAGAACGTAATAGTCGTCGGAACGGTCACAAGAATAATCGCCGGAACGGTCGCCGAAGTGGTAGGGGTGGTGGAAGTAGGGTGGGTTAACTATATATATATATATATATATATATATATTGTATGTATATGTCAAATATCTGAATTTAGAAATTTGAAAGTTGTTTTCTTATTTTTGAAATGGTATATAGTAAAAATAGGAGAAATGAATTTTTCCCATAAAAAATTTTTTAAAAAAAAAAGTTAAAATTGAAAAGTTAAATACTAAAAGTCAAAAATACCCTCATCTTCGTGCAAAGTGTTTGAGTGGAGAGGAAAAAATAAAAATCTCACACAATCTCTAACAGTCAGAAATCAATCCTAGTCGCTATCCTTACCACTACACAACCCAGTCACCAGTTGCACTATCTTCAACAAGATTAGTTTTTTTATTGATTATGAGATTGATTTTTCATTTATGATGTTTCAAAAATTTGTAGATTTTATGATGTTTTAATGTTTTGTTCTTGTTTATTTACGTAGATTATAGAGTGTAGTAGTCATTTAAATGTTTTTTGTCGGAAAATAGCTTCTTTTAGTCAAGGATTGACGATTTTTCGACTAGAAAAGGTAATTGGTGAATGTTAACAATCGCCCTATTGCTAACAGTCTAATTGTTAGTGTTAACAGTCGGGTTAGTCTAGTTGGCCCAAATCCTTTTATTTATTTATTTATTTTTAAAATTGTAATTAAGAAACTTTAATTCTTTTTTAAATTAAATAAAAACATTTAAATTGAAAACTACCAAATTAAATATTCTTTTTTAAAAAATTACCAAATTCTTTTTTTTTCCTTTTTTTTTCAATTTAAAATTCTTTTTAATTTTTTCAATTTTAATTAAATAATATTTATATTCTTTATTTAATTTTTATAATTTCCTTTTTTATTATAATTTTTAGTAATAATTTAAAAAAATTCCTTAATTGTTTT